ATCATCACCATCATCACCATCATGAATATGCTGCTGATGATGATGCTGATGATGATGATGATGATGCTGACGATGATGATGATGCTGATACTGATGATGATGTTGATGATGCTGATGATGATGATGATGCTGATGATGATGATGCTGATGCGGATGCTGATGCTGATGCTGATGCTGATGTTGATGATGATGATGATGATGCTGATGATGATGATGATGATGATGATGATGATGATGATGCTGCTGATGCTGATGCTGATGCTGATGTTGATGCTGATGCTGATGCTGATGCTGATGCTGTTGATGATGATGATGATGATGATGATGATGATGATGATGATGATGATGATGATGCTGCTGCTGCTGCTGCTGCTGATGATGATGATGATGATGATGATGATGATGATGATGATGATGATGATGATGATGCTGATTGCTGTCATCATCACTATCATCGCCACCCATTTCGGCACATCCATCACACGCTTCGCGGCCCCATGTGGAGCTCCACCCACGGCCCCAGTGGCACCGTCCACATGTGTCCGCGCGACCTCGGCACACCCCTCACATGCTTCGCGGCCACACAGGGAGCTCCACTCAAGGCTCTAGCGGCACTGATGCGTCCGCTCCATGCCTTTCGGCAGACCCCTCACACGCTTCGTGGCCCCATCGGGAGTTCCACCCAAGGCCTCAGAGGTACCGCTCGCATGCGTCCGCGCCACCCGTGCCAGCTCACCCCTCACACGTTTCGTGGCACCATGGGGAATTTCACCCGAGGCCCCAGTGGCTGTGTTCGCATGCGTCCGCGCCACCCACGTCGGCGCACCCTTCACACGCTTCGTGGCCCCATGAGGAGCTCCACCCAAGGTCCCAGCGACACAGTCCACATGCGTCCGCGCTACCAATTTCGGCGCACCGTTCACACGTGTCGTGGCTCCAGGGGGAGTTCTACCCAGGGGCGCACGGGCACCGTCCACCTGCGTCCGCGCCACAAATTTTGGCACACCCCTCGCACGCGTCGAGGGGCACATAGGGAGCTCCACCCAAGGCCCCAGTGGCACCTTCTACATGCGTCCGCGCCGTTCATGTCGGCTCACCTCTCACGTTTCGTAGCTCCACAGGGAGCTCCACCCAAACCCCTGGTGGCACAGTTCGCACGCACCTGGTCCACTTATTTCGGAACACACACACACACACACCACACACACACACTCACTCTCTCTCTCACACACATACACACCTCGCGTGTCGTGGCCCTACAGGACGCTCTACCCAGGGCCCCCGTGGAAGGGCTTGCATGCGTCCGCTCTACCCCTTTCGGCACACTCCTCACACGTTTCGTGGCCCCATCGGGAGCTCCACCCAAGGCCGCAGAGGTACCGCTCGCATGCGTCTGCGCCACCCATGCCAGCACACCCTCACACGTTTCGTGGCACCATGCGGAGCTACACCCAAGGAGCTCCACCGAAGGGCCCAGTGGCAGGGATCGCATGCGTCCGCGCCACCCACTCTGGCACACCCCTCACACGCTTCGTTGACCCATAGGGAGCTCCACCCAAGGGTGCACTGGTCGCATGTGTCCGCGCCGCCAATTTCGACACACCCCTCACACGCTTCGCCTAAGGCTCCACGTGCGCCGTCCACACGCGCCCGCGCCAGCCATTTGGGCACACCCAACCCAGCACACGTTTCGTGGCCGCACAGGCAGCTCCCTGGGGCTGCGTTCGCATGCGTCCGCGCAACCCCTGTCGGCACACCCCTCACTTTTCGTGGCCCTGCATGGAGTGCCATCGAAGGGCCCCAGTGGCAGGGTTTGCGTGAGTCTGCGCCACCCATATCGGCACACCCCTCACACGTCTCGTGGACCCAAAGGGAGCTCCACCGAAGGCCCCAGTGGCACCTGTCGCATACGTCGTGGCCCCATCGGGAGGCCGACAGAAGGCCCCAGTGGAAGGGTTCGCATGCGTCCGCGCCACCGATTTCGGCGCACCCCTCACACGATTCGTGACCCCTTAGGGAGCTCCACCTAAGGCCCCAGTGGCAGGGTTCGTATGCGCCCGCGCCACCCATGTCGGCGCACCCCTCACACGCTTCGTGGCCCCATGGAGAGCTCCACCCAAGGCCCCAGCGGCACAGTCCACATGCGTCCGCGGCTGCGTTCGCATCCGCCCGCCGCACCCATTCTGGCACACCCCTCACACGTCTCGGGGCCCCACATGGAGCTCCACCGAAGGCCCTAGTGGCAGGGCTTGCATCCGTCCGCGCCACTCATTTCGGCACACCCCTCACACGATTCGTGGCCTCATAGGGAGCTCCACCCAAGGTTGCACTGTCGCACGACACCCCTCACACGCTTCGTGCCCCTTTGGGAGGGCTCCACCGAAGGCCCCAGTGGCTGCGTTCGCATGCGTCCGCGCCGCCCATGTCGGCACACCACTCACAGGTTCCGTGGCCCCATGGGGATCTCCACTGAAGGCCCTAGCGGCAGGGTTCGCATGCGCCCGCCGCACCGATTCCGGCATATCCCTCACACGTATCGTGATCCAATAGGGAGCTCCACCGACGACGATACTCACAACTGCGGTACCCACAATCGTATATGGTTGGGTCTTTCGCCAGGCTAATTTGTAGAGGCGGATCTAGCTGTGGTGACGAGAAGTCTCCTGGAGGCCAAGAACGGATGGAAATCCGATCCGAGTCGATTTCCCGATCAGGGTCCATTTCGATCCAATCGATCTGATTTGATGTCGAATTTGTCCGACTCGATCCGATTACGTTCCGATGTTCCAACGATCCGATGTGGACCGATGCTTGCACGGTGCTGTTGTGCATCCTTGCGCGCCAATCCGATTCGATCTCGGGTCCGTTCCGATGCGATCCGATTCGATGATCTTCCGACCCGGCCCGATTTTCCGATTCGACGCTGATTGTTTAGATGCCGGATGCATTGATCGCTCAATACGGGGTCATGGAAGTTCCGACCCCTTCCCAGGGCAGTTTTTTTCGTCCCGAGCACTTCTTGACGGTCCCCAGGCCCGGCGAGAGCCCCCATGTGCCGAAATTTGAGAATAATTGTCGATTCGATGGGTGGTCCGATCCGATTCTAATCTCCCGATTCGATGCGGGCTTCTCCTGGAGAGTGTTTTTTTACCCTCCGCGCCACAGGTCGCGTTATGCCCCCCGCCCCCGCCTCCTTCCCCCCTCCCCCCCATAACGTAGGGCTCCCCCCCCCGTCCCCAGCACGGCCGCAGTGCGTCGAGCACCACAGTCTGTCGTCACAGTGGGGGGCGGGGGCGTTACGCGATGTCCCCCCACCCCCCTTAATGACGCCCAGCACTGCCGCGAATCAAAGAAATGCTCCCTCGATTCGATGTTGGCCGAGCCGGAGGAGGAGGAAGAGCGGGAGGAGGAAGGGGAGAAATAATGGGAGGAAGGGGAGAAGGAGGTGGCGGCGGCGGAGCGGGGCCCGATGCCTCGCGGAGCTGCGGCGGCGGCTGGGGCAGCAGGGGCGGCGGCGGCGGCGACACCTCGCCTCGCGCGGGGCTTGGCGGTGTGGCTGTTGACCCCGCGGTTGTCGCAGCCTGCGGGGCCGGCACCGCGGAGCGCTTGGCAGCCTTCGAGCGGCAGGGCAGGGGGATCAGCGGAGGGGTCGGCGATGGTGCCGCCCCCCGCGCAGGGGGTGGCCGCCTGCCCCACCCCCCCTCCCTGCACATGGTGTTCGTCCTCGGCATGTCGAAAGTCCGAGTGCATGGTCGGGGACCTGGCACCTCGGGTGGCGGCCAGGTCCCCGCGGTCGCGGCCGCGTGGGGGCCGCGCAGTCCCGCGGGACTCCCTCCTCGAGGCTGTCCTTGCCTTACCCTCCCTCCTCGAGGAGGTAAGGTAAGTTACCTTACCTCCTCCTCCTCCTCCTCCTCCTCCTCCTCCTCTGGCAGGCGCCCCGATGGCTGCACGGCCCCACGGCGGCCCAGGGAGCGGCGGGCCGGGCCGCCCCTGCGCCCTCGCAGGAGCGGCAGCAGCCGCACCCTTGCGCGGCGGCGCCCGGCGGCGGCTCGCCCCGCGGGGGCGCCTGGGCAGCGGCAAGCCCTCGTGAGGGGGACGGGGGCACGGAGGGGCCATCGCGGCCAGACCCCCTTCGAGTCATGATCTTCGCTGCCTCGATGCGCACGTTTCGATACGCAACAAGTGCCGTGCTCAAGACGTCCGTTTCAATACGCTGCGTGTTGGCTAAACGTGTTGGCCCACGTTTCGGCGAACGTATCGCGTCAGGCCCACGTTTTCAGGATACGTGTTGAGCTCCGTATCAATACGATACGTGTTGCGTGTTGCGTATCGGGGCAGCTAAGGTCATGAAGCACCACGGCGGAAGGCTGTCCTGCATTGTCAGCCTCTGGGTGTCCTCGCCGTGCCCCGGGACCGACGAGAAACAACTCAGGACGGAGAAACGTCTCGGGGTCTGAGGTGGCCCAGCACTGGTTCCGGCCAGCAGGAAGGTCGGACATGTTCGAGTTGCTGGGTTCGGGGAGGTTTTTTGTCCTTGTCGGCTTCAGGGGCCGTTTTCGGGGCCCGGGACCTTGAAAATCGGATCCGGGGTGACCAGATGGATTTTGGGAGGGGTTTGGGGACCGATCTTGAGCGGATTTGGCTTCATCCCCTTCATGACCGAGTTTCCGGGGACCCAACCAGCTCAGACCCCCTGGGCACTTCCAGTCGTCAAGCCCTTGTGGTGGGGGCAGGGGCGCGGAGGGTTCATCATAAGGCAGCTCGCGCTCAGCTTGAGACCATCGTCGAGGCGCCGGAGCGGCGCAGCACAGCCGGTTGGCCGACTGCGCCGACGTTCGCGCGTGAGTTGCCCGTGAGAGGTCGCGCGCAGGCGCCCTCGTTTCCCATGTGGCATGCTGCGCCGGCGGCTCGTGTGAGCCACCGCGTGGGGCCGCCACGCCATCTCGCGCATCTTCTCGTCGTTCATGTGCATCGCCGATGCATCGGCGATGCGGCGCGATCCTCCGACCTCATCGGACCTCATTAGGGCGCCCCCCCCACGCGGGCGACGGAGAACAACTGGGTCGTCTGCACGGACACTCGCGCGTAAGCTGCCCGCGCAGGGTCGCTCGTACGTACCCTCGTTTCCAATGCAGCGTGCTGCGCTGGCGGCCCGCGTGAGCCTGTGCGTAAGGTCGCTGTGCCATCGCGCGCGTGACCCGTTTGTTTTCGTCTCTCGTTTGAGCGGCTTCCACGTACCCAGACCCCCGACGCCATGATGTTGTGAAAACGTCGGTTCCCAGAGTTCTCGACCCAGTCCCCTGGGACCGATTTTTCAACCTCATCCGTGTCTTGACGGCCCCGAGGCCCAGTCAGGGTCCCCAGAGGCTGAAACATGGTGATGAACCGGACGTCGCTTTTTTTCCCCCGAGTCGAGGCGGTCGGTCTGCGCCGATCCTGGGCCCAGCCTTGGCCTGGCCAGCGCTTCGGTGCCGGTGTGCGGCTTCCGTCGTCCTGCACAGGCGCGGGGGCGTCGGCCGCGGCCCCGCTCCCGGTGCCGCACAGGATCGGCGGCGCGCCACGGGTGAACCCAATTCTTTTTGAGGGCTGAACGGCTCCTGTCGGTGACTGCCGAGGGTGTGCCGAGCAGTGGCGAAGCGTCCTGGTTTGCCTTTGGGCCCGCCAGAAATGTCCTAAGAACCTTTGGTGGGCTGCGCGATCTGTTCTTAGAACATCTCAGGTTGTTCCTGTCTTGTTTTAGCACACCAGGTTTAGTTTGTAAGACCACTGTTTTTGTTATTCGACCTTTTTTGGTTCTACGAGCATGTCGTGGTAGGCCTATAGGTCGGCTGGGACGGTCGGTCCCTCCTCAAGTATGATTTCATTGGGTTGTGGTTTGCGATCGGCACCGTTGAGGCCTGGGGGGTACGACACGGTCTTCGTCGGGCCTCCTCTCGGGTGTCCCCCAGGGTGTCCCCCAGGGTGCCGGTTGCAAACCACACCCTTTGCAAATTACACCCTTCGGAGTCGCCGATTCTGATGTCCATCGACTCGCGCTGGAGAGGCCACGATTTGCCCCAAATTTCCGTGGGGATCTCTAGTTTTATTCAGATTTGAACGGGTTTTCGTGGACTTGCACGGATTCGTCTTCCTTTACCTTGATTTATCTGGCTTGATCTTCACAAGTCGACTGGCGAAACGCCGTCAAGCCCTTAAGGTTAGACGTCCAGCGCATTGACAAACATCTTGACGGAGGTGTTTCTGGCATATCTAGAGGTTGACACCAACACCAATATCGGCGGTGTGCCTCAATCGATGGAAGATGACCCAGATCTCGGTGCTGGTGGTCATATTCGGGCTTCCTATTTGGCCGAACTATTACCACCAAAACCAATATCTAGGATACATTTCCTCGGGTGGAGGCAACCCCCCATGTTGGTGTTGGTGCCCATTTCCAAGCCTTCCGTTGTCGGCGTTCTCGGCCACTTGAGCGGGAGAGCGGATCGCATCGGATTGCCGTCAGTTCTGGGCCCCTTCCAGAGGCCCTTCGTGACCACACGGATCCGTCGCGAGGAGCAGTTCAGAGTGGGCCTTGGGAGGGTGCGGGGCCGACGTGGGACATCGGATCGGATCGAAACCCCGACTCTCCACGTCGCAGCGCGGCAGAGGCGATCCGCTCGCGCGTCTGGGCGCGACTGGGACGCGGCGTCGGGAGTTTATTCGTACGCAGGAGGGGGGGGGGGGGGGGCGAGGGGACCGCCGCGGAGGGGGGAGCCGGGCGCGGGGGGCACTCGCGCAGCGGGGCTGCGGCGGAGCGCGCGGGGGCGGCCCGTGCTCAAAAGGGGGCTCGGAACGCAGATGTCCGACGTGCGGATCGGGCGAGGAAGGAGAGAGGCTCTTCGCCGTCCTCGGCCTCCGCCTCCGGGGGGGGCCGTCGACGGGCCCGGGGGCCGCCAGGAGACCAGCCCGGACGAAGCAGTGGCCCTCCGGGCAGGGTCGGGGTTCCCAGCGGTCCTGTATGGAGCAAATGCGGCGGCGAGCGAGGGGGGGGGGGTGAGAAGGAGAGGGGCTCCTCAGAAGGCGGCGGGGCTTCTCACAGAGGCCCTCGCGCCTTCCGAAGGGTGTTTTTTGTGTCTTCAGGGAAGCCTCGGACAACTTTCTCAGGAGGCCGGGGGACGTCCGAGCCTTCTGAGGAGGCCCGCCTCACTTCCCCCTGGGCTCGCCGCCGATCAACGTCCACAAGGCGCGGTGGCGGATGCTGGTGCGCGGGGCCGTTTTTAGGGGGAGGGCCTCGGCCTGTGGAAGAAACGAGGGTGCGAGTCTTTCGAAAGGGGCGCTTTCCGCAGTCAGGGGGAGGGCTTGCAGGGACTCGTGAGGAGAGGCCTCTTGCCATCGCTCGGACGTGTGTTTCGTCTCGGCGGGGACCATCTTGAGGAGCATCCTGAGGAGGAGGAGGAGGAGGAGGAGGAGGAGGAGGAGGAGGAGGAGCCATTTCCGCCCCGGGCTCGCCGCCGACACACGAAGACATCGGATGTCTGGGAGAAGGGGCGGTCTTCCTCCCGAGGAGGCGGCAGCACTGGCTCCTCGGGGGGCCCCTGTGCTGCGGGCGAGGGCCCCCTCGGGGAGGCCCCGAGGTGCGCCTCCGGGAGGCCCCCGGAGCCTTCCGACGCCGCGACGTTTCCACGAACGCTCCTTCATCCCGAGGTGTTCCGTGAGCCGAGAGAGCGCGTTTCGAGAACGGGACTGAAGAAAGCGGCCCGCGGGCGGAGGGGGTTTTCTCCCCCGGACAGGAGGAGAAGAAACACACAGAGACACTGAATCGTCCTCCTCCTCCTCCCCCTCCTCCTCCTCCTCCTCCTCCTCCTCCTCCTCCCCCCTCCCCCTCCTCCTCCTCCTCCTCCTCCTCCTCCTCGAGAACGCTTGCCAGGGACAACTCCGGGCTTCCCAGACAGGATGGGAGTATAGGTGGGCCGGCGGAGCCGCGCCGCGTCGCCGACGCGATCATCGGCGACGTGGCGGCTTCTCCCGCCCCCGTGTCATCCGACCCCGCTTGGGAGGCGTCCGCGGAGAGCGGGGCCGGTGGTGTTCGTTCTCCGCCGGCCTCCGGCGCTCGCCTGCGGGCGCGCTGCGCGGACCTATGGCGCACGGCGCGGCCCAGTCCAGCTGCAAGCTGGGCGCGGACGAGCACGGGGCGGCGGGAGGGGGGTGGGGAGACTTTGGAGGAAAGGGCCCCCATGGATCTCTCGTCGCCCCCTTGTTCGCAGGGCTTTTCTCCAGCCCCGGGGCCGCCGGCCAGAGGCAATATTCGAGTTCGGGACGGTTCCTCGGAGTCTGCGTCGAGATCCGCGGGGGCGCTTCTTGCCGGGCTCTCCCTTCTGCCCTCTGTTTCGCCGAGGTGGCGCGCGGCGTCCGCAGGAAACGCCGCTTCATGAGGGCCGCGCCCACCCTCTACCTGGCGGCGCCGCCAGACTTGGACGGGCAGAAGGAAGCTCAGCTGCGTCGCCTGCCAGGGGCCGCCGCGGTCGAGCGGCGTCCGTCTTCCGAGCCCCCTCCCCTGCTCGCTCGCCGAGGCTGCGCCTCCGACGAGGCTCGGGGGCGAGTGTCGGTGTCGGGGGCGGGGGGGGGCGGGCGGGCGGCGTTCGACCCCGCGCAGGAGGGCGCGGGCTGCCGCGACCGCGGCAGCGAGCGCGCCGTGCTCGAGTCGCGCCACGCGTGGCGACGCGGCCGGCGGCGTCGCGACGTCGACGTGCGACGCGTCGAGAGTTCCAGCGGGCGGCGGAAGCTGAAGAAGGTGCGCTGCCTCGAAGCGGCGCCGAGGAATCAGGGTTGGCCGTCTCTGGGCCGGGGCCACGGGGTCGGGCGAGCCCTCGCGGCGAACGGCGCCCAGGAAAGCAGGGTCGCCATCTTGGGCTGTTGTGGCGAACGGCGCCTGGGAGTCCGGTGCCGCCATCTCCTGTCTGCGCGGCAGAAGTGTCCCTCGGCGCGCCTCGGGTCGTCGGGGAGCGGATGGGGCTCGGGGCGACGCGGCGGGGCGCCATCCGCCCCGCCGTGGGTCTGCTGCGCGGCCTGCTGCGCCTGCGCGGCCGCGAGGCGCGGCGCGCCCTCGCCAAGGGCCATCGGGGGAAGTCGGGGGGGTCGGGGGAGGCAGGGTCAGTGGCGCTCCAATCCTTTAGATAACCCCTTCGGCTCCCGCTCAGTCCTTCGCTTGGCCCAGCCCCGCAGCTCTTGTCATCCGCGCGCAAGGGGGGGGGGGGGCCGGCGCGGGGGTCGTAGAAGCACGCCTGTTTCTTGGAAGGCGCGGTCCTTATCTATGGATGCAAGGCCAGGGACCTCTAGGAATCCGCCCCCTGCTGAGCAGCCCCCCCCAGTCTTCCCCCCCAGTCTTCCGCCTCCGTCTGCGCGCCGCCAATCTTGAGCGGGGCCTGGGCGTCGGGCGCACGGTGCCCGAGCGCGCGGCCGCAGTTCTGGAATGGGGGGTGGCGACAGACAAACAGCATACGATGCCATGTGCTATGTCATGCAGGGGGAGTGCAACTAATGGGAGAGTCGACGTGCGCGTGCCACGAGATGCGCGCCGTGGTGTGCAAGGCGCTCGCCTGCCTTGCGTTCGTCTCGGACGTCGCCGCCCGGGCGCGCTCGGCGGCCGCGGTAGAGCCAGGCGACTGAGCGCTCGGCGCGGGCAGGCTGGGCTGGAATGTGAGAGATTATTGTGTCGGCGATCTCTGGGTAGAACGCGCGGCATCGTATGGTGGGCAACAGTTTTACATCGCTCAAACTGCCTGAGTTGGTGCGTGCAGGCGTCGTGCAGGCTAGTTGGCTCTGTCATACTCCAACCTCTGTTGTGGCGCTGATCATACGGATTTTGAAACACTTGCTGCGCGAGTCTGGCGACTGCAACAGAGCGTTGGCTCATCCCCGAACGCCATCGCCATCCGATCCAGCCCCTCCTTCTCTCCCCCCTCTTCCTCCTCCTGTTCCTCCTCCTCTTCCTCTTCCTCCTCCTCTTCCTCTTCTTCCTCCTCCTCCCCTTCCTCCTCCTCCTCCTCCTCCTCCTCCTCCTCCTCCTCCTTCTCCTCCTCCTCCTCCTCCTCCTCCTCCTCCTCCTCCTCCTCCTCCCTCCCCCTCCTCCTCGCCCCCCCCCGTTCAGGGGCGACGACAGGGGGAGGTGGGCTCGGGAGGGGGTGCGTCGATCCCGAATCGCCCATCCTTCGCCGATGGGGGGCGCCGATCGCCTCCTTTGTTCAGGAAAATGCGGGCTCGCTATGGGGGTCCCATCGCCGATCTACCGGCGATGTTTCGCCTGTTCCAGGTCGATGCTATTTCTCTGTAGCGTGGGCGCTTCCGTCTTCTGTCCGACAGGACGCCTCGCTACCATGACGTATGCATCGGTTGTGGTTCGGTCTCGGCCTTCGGCGCTTTCCAAAGCTGTGTCCGGGGACGCTCTGATGGCCAGCGGGATTTCGAGAAACCCCGCCGCCTTCTGAGAAAGCCTTTTCCCTCTCACCCCCCAGCCGTGCGCTCGCCGACGCCAGCCGACAGGCCAGCACCTGCGACTGGCATCCGCCTGGAAACAACAGCTCTCCTGCTGCTCTTTGCTCCCTCCGGGGGTCTGCCAGAAGTGCCCCCTGGCCCCACTGTGCCCCCCCGTGAGCTCCCAGGAGGCCCCCACGGCTCCCAGAGCACCCCTTTCTCGAGGCCCAGGTGGCCTCATGGGACCTCGAGGAAATGGACGGTCGAGGAGGAGGAGGAGGAGGAGGAGGAGGAGGAGGAGGAGGAGGAGGAGGAGGAGGAGGAGGAGGAGGAGGAGGAGGAGGAGGAGGAGGAGGCCCCACGATGCCCCCCCGTGATCTCCAAGGAGGTCCCCACGGCTCCCAGAGCACCCCTCTCTCGAGGCCCGAGTGGCCTCCTGGGCGCCCAAGCCGAGCGCAACGCTGGGGGCCCTTCGGGCCAACGCAGGGGCACCTTCCGCACCCCCCCCCCTCCTCCTCCTCCCTCCTCCTCCTCCTCCTCCTCCTCCTCCTCCTCCCTCCTCCCTCCTCCTCCTCCTCCTCCTCCTCCTCCTCCTCCTCCTCCTCCTCCTCCTCCTCCTCCTCCTCCTCCTCCTCCTCCTCCTCCTCCTCCTCCTCCTCCTCCCCCCGAGCCCCGCCGACGCCGCTGGCAGGAGCTGGCCGCGGGAGGCCCGCGCCGCCGCGCTGGAGGGGCTGCTGGAGAGCCTCGGGGACCGTGCCGGGGGCGACCTGGGGATCCTGGCGGCCGCGGCGGGCTGCTGCTCGGCGCCGCCCTTCGGCGGTCGGAGGGACAGCGCCGCCCCTCCCTCGTTTGTCGTCGGTTTCGAGGTCCGAGGTGGGTCGAGGATCGAGGATCGAGGAGCCAGCTCGAGGCAGCTCGAGGTTCGAGGCTCGAGGTTCGAGGATCGGGGTAACCAGAGATCGGCTGCTCAAGGTTCGAGGACCGGGCGTTCGACCCATGCAAATCGGAGGGCAAGAGTCGCCATCCTCGCCTCCTCTGTCCATCCTTGACGCCTTTCGATTTCCAGCCTCGTTCGAAAAAAACTTCGACACGGGCGTCCAAAGGGTTTGCGTTCTTCCCGCCGTGTGGGTGCCCAGGTTTTTCGCAATTTGGGCTTCCCCGGCCTTCCGCGGGCCTCGGGACTGTCAGACAACGATTTAGAATGTCGTATGGTATTTCGCTGATATGGCTTCCCGGGGCCCTCCCCGGGCCTCGGGACTGTCAGAGAAAGATTCAGGATGAAGAGGCCCGTTTTCTCAGGACCCTTTTCCCCCATGCTAACACCAGTTACCCTAAGATCTTGGCGGCTGAACTTTTTCGAGCCGGGCGTTTTGGCTTTGTTTTTCGGTACCTGGGTCCTTCACATATCGATCCGGCTCGCAAGATGCAGGAGAAACATGGGGTTTGGGGTTCGGGGCGTGATTTTTCAGGATGCGGCAATCTTTTCGTGGCGTCGGATCTCGGGGTATGCACCAGGCGCGCCAGGTAAAAGCATTGCCTGCCAGCGGTGTCTCATCTCTCCCGATGGCCCCAGAGACCCAGGAGCCTGGGCCGCGATAAGTGGGGGTGGCGATAAATGGGGGGGGAGGGCTGCGAGGGCTGTAGGAAAGATCCCTTGTAAGAGGCCCTTTCGGGCCCAACGGGGCTTCTCGGGCCCGAGAGGTGCGCCCTCCCCCTGCCCCCATCTATCGCCCCCCCAGTAAGCGACGCCCAAGAAGTCCTGGTATCCCCCAGGCCCGCCTCAAGCGTTGATGAAGGATGTGCCCTTAGAATTTCTTACCGCAAGATTTCCTGCCGCGTGTGCCTGCTGAGCACCTGCACCGATCCTGGTCGGACCAATCCTGGGCCCAGGATAGGTGTGTACCTGTGTATGCCTTCCCGCCCAGGCCAGGGGATCGACAACTGAAAGCACCGGAATCCATTTTCCGTCGGGTTTGCAAAACAACGCAGAATTCGCAGTAGACCTATGTTCGGAACATTCCACGGATTTGTCGTAGACTTGACCAACAAATCAACTCTGGGGTAAGTCAACCATGTAGTCGATCCCCTAATCGAGTATACCCAGACCCCCGACGTCATAATTTGTTCCATAGCGCCGACCCCCGGAGGTCTCGCTCGCCCCATTCTCTGGGACGTTACATCCCGAGTCGTTTCTTGACGGTCCCGAGGGCCGGAAACTTGCAGTGATGATTGGAGAGGCCTAACGGCTGGTGCCGCCGACCCTGAACGACGACGACGATGCTGACGTTGGTCAGAGTCCTCAGGGACGCTTCTTGAGGTCCCATCGGGGCGCTCTCGGCGGCCCCGAGGGCCGGTAGCTTGCCGTCGTGATTTTGTTCATGACTCGATGGGGGTTGGGGTATACGGTCGGACCGAGATATAAGATCGAGGTCGGTTTGGGGAGGGTACCCCGGTGGTCTTTCTCTTTGTTGGATGTTCTTGTGCATCCTGGGGGGGGGGGCACCCTCGGATGTTCTGTGAGCTTTGGCCAGCGGGGGGCCTCATGTTCTTGATGGTTGTTCTTCTGGCCTGGGTCCGACTGTCGGACGGGGCTAGCACGAGGGAAATCCGTGCCAGAACGCTCTCAGGGCGCTCCAGAACGCTCTGAGAGGGCCGCGGCGCCCGCGACATCCCCCAGAGCCGCCAGGATCTCGGAGGTCCTCGACTCATCCCCACCCCACTTTTAGTCCTCCTCCTGGCCTCGCCTGGGATGTTCTTCTGGCCCAGGTCCGGCGCTACACCAGTCCTGGGCCCAGGATGGGCCCGGCCAGGGACAGTGTGCAGGTCTGCGTGTAGCCGGTGCCTCCCTCAGGCGGCGGCGGCCCGGCCGGGGCGCCCTCCAGCGGGGCCCCCGCGGGCGCGCACGACGCGCGGGAGGTGCTGGGCGACCTCCCACCGTTGAGAGCAGAAGAGCCTTTTGATTGTCCCTTAATAAGCGCTGCAGGCCTGGCCTCATTGAGGTCCCCGTTCTCGCGTTAGGAATCATAGATCTGGGCGGTTTGGTCTGAGTCGCCTCCAGCAAAGACCCCCTGTCCCTCATGTTTGCGGCCCTCCTAACTTAGGTCTTCTGCCACAGGACTTGCGTTGTTTGCTTATCATCCCAGATCTCCGACGGCATGATGTTTTTCGATCGGGGCGATTGTTGTTGTTGTTGTTGTTGAACATTATTTATTCTAAAGAATAATTATTGTTGGGCCCCCTGGTGCGCGCCCCCCCTGCGCCGCCTAGGCCGCAGCTACATTTTCATCATTTTCGTGAGGAAGCCTCAGAAAAGAGGGTGTGTACAGGATCCGGTTGTTTTGTTGTAATCCGCTTTCCCTTGCAAAAAACAATAGAAAATGACATTTCTTGTTCTAATATAATCAAATTTCAAGAATCCCTTGCAAAAAATAAGGTAAAGTGGACATTCGCGCGCGCAAGACGAAATCCTTCCAAAACCTTAGTGTTCGCAGCGATTTTAACATAAAAACATCAAAAAACCAATGGTTTTTCAACACAAAAAAATTGTCAAAATCTCATCCCGCGCGCTCTTGCGGATTCGTAGGAAACCCAACACTTTTTAAACATTTCTGTCAAACGGGCTTTTGCGAGCAACTTTTTCGAACTTCTGCGACAACGGTTGCGCACCTGCCAGGGCCATCATCCCTGTCAAATAATACCATGCGGGACACATTCGTTTTTTCTTCGCGCGCGCACGCCGTCGTCGTCGGCCGCGGGGCCCTGAATAGTAGCCACGGTCGTCCGCATGCCACGAAGTGAAGTGTCCGAACGTCATAGGGCGGGAAGCTGGGTGTGGGTGGTGGCGAAGAGTCGTGTGGATATTTGGTAGAGCTTGCACTGCCCCCCCACAAAGTGGGGGTATTGGCTGGCGTCGCATGAAAACCCTGGCACTGGTGAGAACACTGAGCGTTCGGGTGAAGTGATTGTTGTTGTTGTTGTTGTTGTTGTTGTTGTTGGTGTTGTTGTTGTTGTTGTTGTTGTTGTTGTTGGTGGTGGTGGTGGTGGTGGTGGTGGTGGTAGTGGTGCTGTTGGTGGTGGTGGTGGTAGTGTTGTTGGTGCTGCTGCTGTTGTTGTTATTGTTGAGGTCTCATCTCTGCAGAACTAAATACTCTTAACTGCTCCTTGCTAAAGAAGAATCAGTGCTGATCCCCCCGTTGCCCATATTGTGTTTTTCAATAACGGTGCTCCTTCTGGGGCGCGCACCGTTTGCCATAAGGGAAAGTCGGTGGTCACCAAACTGCGCCCCTGGCAGCCGATTGACAACAATGACGGCTCCGCTTGATACTTTCTCACAAATCTTTTCAGATTCGCGCTCTCGCGCGGGACTTCCTCAACATTCGTGCAGAATTCGTGCTCTTCCTTGGCATTTCCTCGCAATTCATTCAAACGCTGCGCCCTCGACGCTCAGGAAACGCGCTCTCGCTCTGGTTTTTTCTTGCGATTTACTTGGAAATCGCGCTATCGTCGCCATTTACTGAAATCGCGCTATCGCTCGAGACCTGCTTGCGATTCATTCAGGATTCACGCTTCAGCAACCCGCCTGCTCGACGTGGCCGCCTGGGCCCTCCATCCGACCTACCTGTTATGGCCTGACCGCCCGATCAGCCCGTCTGGTTTTGCCGCGTGTTGTCTGTTCCTAGCCCCCCTCCTGCTAATCTCTCCCGCGCTCCATCCTTCTCACTCCCCCTTCATCCGTCCTCTCTTCCCCTTGTTGTAGGGGCTGCACCAAGTACACCTGGCTGGTAAGGAAACTCTACCCCCAAGTGGGTCGAGCAGGTATTGAGCAGTTCAGAGCGAACAGCTTTAAAATGATTGTCGAGTTCCCATGTCTAAAATGATTGTTGAAAAACCCAATCATAATCTTTTGAGGTCTGTAGGGCTATATGGCTGTATGGGCTATAGGGCTATTGGGCTATAGGGTAATAGAGCTACAGGGCTATTTGGCTATAGGGCAATAGGGTATAGGGGTATAGGGCTATAGGGCTATAGGGCTATACGGCTATAGGGCTATAGGGCTATTGAGCTATAGGGCTATAGGGCTATAGAGCTGTAGAGCTGTAGGGCTATGGGCTATAGAGCTGTAGAGCTGTAGAGCTGTAGGGCTATAGGGCTATAGGGCTATAGGGCTATAGGGCGATAGGGCTATAGGGCTATAGGGCTATAGGGCACCCCCTGGCACCCGGGCACCCCCGGGCACGCCCGGGCACCCCGGCACCCGGGAACCCGGGCACCCGGGCACCCCCGGGCACCCAGGCATCCGGGCGTGCAGCGAAAATCGGCGGCAAACCTAACCTAACCATATGAATCCGCTAGGACCCCTACAGAGGCAAGCTCTGATTGGGGAATCATTGTTGTTTCCCCGGTCACCTTCATATTTTCTCGATTAAAGTGCTCCTCCCGGGGCTCGCACCCAGTTTATCAGGGAAAGTCTGCGGTGACCAAACTGCGCCCTTGGCCCCCGCCGTACAACAACAACAGCTCTCGCCTGATACGTCATCACACTGTATTTCAGATTCTCGCTATGGCTCGGGACTTCCTCACCAATTTGTGCAGCAATCGCGCTCTCGCGTGGTATTTCCTTTCAATCTATTTGCGGCGCCGTGCCCCCAAGACTCAGGAATCACGCTTTTGCTTTGGATTCCCTCACGATTGACTTGTGAGTTGCGCTACCGCTCGAATCTTCCTGCATCATGGGTTGACGCTCTAGCGACCCGCCCGCTCGACCTGGCCGTCTGGGCCCACCGCCCGACCTGCCCGTTAGGGTCCGTCCGCCCCGCACGCCCGTCTGGTTCTGCATCTTGTGTTCCTGCTCCGAACCCTCCTCCTGCAAACCTCTCTCGTACTCCATCCTTCTCCCTCCCCCTGGTCTCTTCATCACTCCTCTCCTCCTTCCCCTGTTTTAGGGATTGCGCTAGCTACAGGCGGCAGGTGGGGAAAATATACCCCCCAGAGGGGTGCGATCGAAGACGAAGAGGGAGGAGATCGATGGTTTAGGATATACGTGTTGAATGGCGCGCGGACAGATGAGAACAACCAGTCTTACAAATGGCTGTTGCTGTGGTTGTTGTTGTTGCTGCTGATGCTGCTGTTGTTGTTGTTGTTGTTGTTGTTGTTGTTGTGGTTGTTGTTGTTGTTGTTGCTGTTGCCTTGTTGTTGTTGTTGTTGTTGTTGTTGTTGTTGAGTTCCCATCTCTAACGAATATGTATTGTTGATCCCCCTTCCTCTGGTAACCATTATGATTGTTTCAATTCAAGTGCTTCTCCCGGGGCCAGCACTCTTTTTTTCCAAGGGGAAATGAGGTGTCATCAAACTTTGTTGTCGGCCCCCGATTTGCAACAACAGCGGCTCCCGCTTGAGACTTCTTCACAGGTTCTTCCCAAATCGTGCTCTCGCGCGGAACATTCTGAGAATGTATACAGGAATCGCGTTCTCGTGTGGGACTTCATCGGAATGTATTGAGACGCCGCGCCCTCGACATTCAAGCATCACGCTCTCGCTTCAGCTTTCTACCGATGTACCTGGGAATCGCGCTATCGCTCGAATTTTCCGTGCGATCCATGCAGGACGCACTCTTCAGCAACCCGCCTGCCCCTTATCCCTTCCTTCCATCCGTCCTCCCTTCCCCTGCCTTATGCTTGCACGACATGTGCGTTGCAGGTAAGACAGATATACCCCTAAGGAGGTACGATCGAAGACGAGTACGATCGAAGACGAAAAGGGTGGATACCGACGGTTTGGGATATTCGTGTTGAGTGGCGCACGAGCAGATAAGAGCGACCAGTCTAACTATTATTGTTGTTGTTGTCGTCGTCGTTGTTTTTGTTTTGTTGTTGTTGTTCCTAGTGTTGCTGTTGGTGTGTGGTTGTTGTTGTTCCTAGTGTTGTCGTCGTCGTCGTCGTCGTCGTTGTTGAACATTATTTCTTCTTAAGAATAATTATTGTTGGGACCCCTGGTGCGCGACCTCTGCGCCGCGCCTAGGCCGCAGCTACATTTTCATCATTTTTTCGCGAAAGCTTCAGAAAAGTGGATTACCCCCGGATCCGGTTTTTTGTTGACGCCGTTTTCCCTTGCAAAAAACACTATAAAATGAAAATTCTTGTTCTTACTTGATCAAATTGCAAGAATCCCTTGCAAAAAATAAGGTAAAGTGGACATTCGTGCGCGCAAGACGAAATCCTTCCAAAACCTTAGGTTTCGTAGCGATTTTAACATAAAAACATCAAAAACCCAATGGTTTTTTAAGAAAAAAATGTCAAAATGTCCTTCCGCGCGCGCTGTCCGAATCCCACAAAACCAATGGTTTTTCAACATTTATGTTACATGAGCTCGCGCGAGCTACTTTTTCTTGTTCTAACATAATCAAATTTCAATAATCCCTTGCAAAAAATAAGGTAAAGTGGACATTCGCGCGCGCAAGACGAAATCCTTCCAGAACCTTAGGTTTCGTAACGATTTCAACATAAAAACATCAAAAACCCAATGGTTTTTCAAAAAAAAATGTCCAAATTTCATCCCGCGCGCGCTGTCCGACTCCCACAAAACCAATGGTTTTTCAACATTTATGTTACATGAGCTCGCGCGAGCTACTTTTTCTTGTTCTAACATAATCAAATTTCAATACTCCCTTGCAAAAAAAAGTAAAGTGGACATTCGCGCGCGCAAGACCAACAAAAAACACGACGATCTCAGGAACTTGCCCCAAAAATGTGACCAACTCCGCTCTCTCTGTCTCTCTCTCTGTCTGCTCTCTGTCTCTCTCTCTGTCTGTCTGTGTCATGTATTGTATGTCACAATTGCAGGATGCTGGGCACACGCGCGCCCCGAATAAGTGACCAAGTTCTGTGGGTGTGTACCCCACGCCAGTGTAGTAGCCACGGTCGTCCGCACGCCACGAAGTGAAGTGTCCCAACGTCATAGGGCGGGAAGCTGGGTTTGGGTGGTCGCGAAGAGTCGTTTGGATATTTGGTAGAGCTTGAACTGCCCCCCCACGAAGTGGGGGTATTGTCTCGCGTCGCATGAAAACCCTGGCACTGGTGAGAACACTGAGCGTTCGGGTAAAATGATTGTTGTTGTTGTTGTTGTTGTTGTGTTTGTTGTTGTTGTTGTTGTTGCTGTTGTTGTTGTTGTTGTTGGTTCTTTCTTGCATTCGTATCATCATTGGTATTGTTGTTATGTTTTGTGTTGATGTGTTTGTTGTTGTTGTCGTGGAGTTCTCATTTCTAACGCATATCATTGTTGATCCCCCTCCAGTAACCATTGTATTTTTCAATTCAAGTGTTTCTCACAGGTTTCGCATCCTGTTTCTTCTTACGAGACACGAAACTGGGCCCCGGGCCCCCAGTTTACAACAACAGCGGCTCCCTCTTGATACTTCTCACAAATTCTTCCCAAATCGAGCTCTCGCGCGGGATTTCCTCGCAATTTATTCAGACGCCGCGACTTCGACACTCAAGCATCACGCTCTCGCTTCAGCTTTTCTCACGATGTATCTGGGAATCGCGCTATCGCTCGAGACTTCCTCACGATTCATGCAGGACGTACGCTTCAGCAACCCGCCTGCTCGACCTGGCCGCCTGGGCCCGCCTTCCCAACCCGCCCGTCAGAGTCTTCCCGCCAGATCTGCCCGTCTGGTTCTGTCACGTGTTTTCTGCTCCTTGCCCCCCTTTCTGCTATTCGCTCTCGTGCTCCATCTTCCTCCCTCCCCCTTATTCCTTCCATCCGTCCTCTCTTCCCCTGCCTTAAGGGGCCGCAAAAAATACACGTTGGAGCTAAGAAATATGTTCACCCCCAAGGGGGTACGGTCGAAGAAGAAGAGGGCGGGTATCGAGGGTTTGTGTTATACGTGTTGAATTGCCCGAGCGAGCAATATGAACATGTATTTGTTCGTTTTTGCTTGTTTTCTTTTGAGTTCTCATTACTGAAGAATAATTATCGTTGATACCCCCTCCAGGGATCATGGAAGGTGAAAAACAGATCATGGAGGTGACTTAAACCCACTCCGGCCTGCGAGCCGCAGCCCCTGACCCATGCCGAAGGCTAACAAACACATCAGCTGGCCGCGCCTGGCCGCCTTCGCGGGCGGGCGGGCGCAAGGCGAAGACGCTGTGCTGCCGAGAGGACGAAGAGGAGGAGGAGGAGGAGGAGGAGGAGGGGGAGGAGGAGGAGGACGAGGACGAGGACGAAGAGGGAAAGTCCTTACAGCCAAGTAATTGTGAAGTGAAGTGACACATGCACGCTTCAGCAACCCGCCTGCTCGACCTGGTCGCCTGGGCCCGCCTTCCCGACCCGCCCGCTAGGATCTGCCCGCCCGGTCTGCCCGTCTGTTCTGTCACGTGTTTTCTACTTTTGGCCCCCCTCCTGCTAATTTCTCTCCTGCTCCATCCTTCTCCCTCCCCCTTCCGTCTGTCCTTTCTTCCCCTGTTCTAGGGGCTGCGCTAAATGCACATGGCAGGTAAGGAAGATATACCCCCGAGGGTGGTACGATCGAAGACGAAGAGGGCGTTATCGAGGGTGTGGGATATACGTGTTGAAAGGCACGCGGGCACATAGAAGCGAACAGTCTTAATTTGATTGTTGTCGTCGTCGTCGTTGTCGTTGTCGTTGTCGTTGTTGTTGGTGTCGTCATCGTCGTCGTCGTTGTCGTTGTCGTTGTCGTTGTCGTTGTTGTTGTTGTCGTCGTCGTCGTCGTCGTTGTTGTTGTTGTTGTTGTTGTTGTTGTTTTCGGTGGTTCTGTCGTTGTTGTCGTTGGTGTCGTTGTCGTCGTTGTTGCTGTTGTTGTTGCTGCTGCTGTTGTTGTTGTTGCTGTTGTTGTTGTTCTTATGGTTGTTGTTGTTGTTGTTGTTGTTGTTGTTGTTGTTGTTGTTGAGGTTGTTGTTGTTGTTGTTGTTGTTATTGTTGTTGTTGTTGTTGTTGTTGTTGTTGTTGTTGTTGTTGTTCTTCTTCTTATTGTTGTTGTTGTTGTGGCTTCGCCGAGCATCATCCGAGGACGCTCCGGGATGCAAAGGGAATAAGGAAGCAGAACGGATGAAACCGAACGGATGAAAGGCGCGGTGTGCAGCTGGACAAGATGTCGCGAGAGGCAGACGCTGGCGAGAGGGGTCCTCGAAGGCAGTATCGTGATCGTGCCGTTTTTCCTCGGTTTCTGGCGGTCCCCGGGGGGGCCACGAGAAACGGTTCTGGGGCGAAACGTTCCCCCCTGGGGCAGGAGGGGTTGGGAGTTCTGCGGCCGCGGGTTGGGGCAAGAGTTACTCCAGATTTCGTAATAAATGGGAGGGGGTCTGGACCCTCCAAGACAAGCCATTTCAGACCCCCCCCCGTGGGAGAACCCTCCAAAACATCGTCCCCAGACCCCCCCAGGCCCTCCAAGATAGCCTGGAAGAGACCCCCCCCGAAATGAGACCCCCCTCCCTTTTTTACGAAATCTGGAGTTCGTTCGGCGGATGTCTGGGCTGGGGGCCCCAGATTGCTCCGCTTGCCGAAAGAATGTCGGCGCACAGTCTTTGACAGTGCTCGGACTTCGGGGGCCCTCTCGGGGCCCTGGGTCCCTAAGGGCTTGTCGACTCTTCGCCGATCGACTTGTGGGGATCGAGCCAGATAAATCCAGGTAAATGCAGATAAATCGAGGTACATCCAGGTAAGTCGAGATAAATTAGGGTAAATCCAGGTAAATCCAGAGATCTCCAGGGAAAGTTGGAGCAATTCGCGGCCGCTCCAGCGCGAGTCGAAGGATGGCAGAAGTCGTTAAGCCTTTAACGACTGGGGGGCGTCCCAAAAGACCCAGGATATGAAAGGCCAGACCCGTGCATGTGGTCCAGGCCTTTGGGGCTCAACGCTGCGAGAGAGTCACGACGTCGGAGGTGCTGGACGACCTGGAGGATGTCGGGAAAGAAGACAGGGCTCGAGCTAAGCTGTATTTTTTGCGATTTCGTGGACCGTTTTCGGTTTGATGTCGTTACGCAGCAAAGGCAGAACGAAGACAGAACGAATGAAAACAACAACACAACAAAAACGGAAACACTGTTCAGCTCAAGCCCTGGAAGAAAACGTCGTGCAACCATGAACTTCGGATCTTTTGGCGACTTTTCTCGGAGCGGCGCTGGGGCGCTTGCCCGGCAGCGCCTGCGCCCCCCCCCCCCCCTCCCGGCGCGGGCGCCAGGGGGGCGGGGGGTCAGCGTCTGGTGGGCCAATTCTCCACCACCACTGCAGCACATGGACAAAATATTCGAACCCTCACACGCTTGAGGGTGATGCCCATCACCCCGCGGCCTCCGAGATCAACATTTATTTTAGCATGGGTTGTGGTTCGGGGATGTGAATATTTATGTCCAACCGGGCCCTCTCCAGTGCCGCACCTCTGATATGAGTTTTTTGGGTCCTGGAGGGTATCTTGCGCCGCAAGGTGTGAACTTATTGTCCATGTGCGATGCCATAGGTAGTACGGGGGCGAAGGGAGGATGGGGAGGTTCTCCTGCTCCTCCTCCTCCTCCTCCTGCCTTTCCTCCTCCTCCTCCTCCTCCTCCTCCCTCTCCTACCCATGGCAGTGGTGTTGGAAAATCGGCCCATCAGCGTCGATCCAAGAGATCCGCGCAAAGATCCGAGAGTTGATGTTCATGCCGCTGGTTCGTCCTCTGCCAGAGGACGTGCCCGAGCACTTCCGGTGCGCGATCGACGGCCGCCTGCTCTTGGACCTCGGGGCAGAGAGCAGATGCTGATATCGTGGATGCCCCTCCGCCGCCTCCGCCCTCTCGAGCCTCTCGGCACTGCCTTCCTTCGGAAGTACTGCTTGTATCCTCTGGCGCGTAACAGTCGTTAACCGGACCAAGCCTCCCCCCTCTAACGGTAACGATCGTACGTGGTGGGGGGGGGGGCTGAGCCGCATGTCGGTGGAACCCGTACCAACTGGGACTCACGCCAATCAATTCGCACTTTTTCCCCAATTTGGACAAGCCAAATTGGTACGAATTCCAATTGGCCAGTGACCTCACTGTGTGATGGTTGTTTTGAGGCTATGTTAGTACTTTCCGAAGCAGCTGCTTCTTTGTGCACACAAGTGTTCCAGAAGCTAGCATGAGTGCCTGGGATGGAATGTGTACCAAAGCGGCCTGCGATGATGTGGAATTCAAGATGTAGATGCGGATGGCGGCGTTAATGAATAGGTGTAATATCTATCTATATCAGCTAGAACATCCCCAGACAACCCGGGCACGGGTTGTCCAGGGACTGTATTTTAAGGGGTGTGGGGTTTAAGGGCTTTAAGTGTTCAAGGACTTGAGGATTTCAGGGTTGAAGGGCTTACATGTGTGAGGATTTACAGGCTTAAGGGCTCAAGGGTTTCAGAGTTCAATGTATTCAGCGTTTACGTATTTAACGGTTCAAGAGCTTAAAGTTTCAAGAGTTGTCCGAGGGTTCTATTTGACGGATTTATGGGTCTATCGGGTTTAAGGTTTAAGGGTTTAAGAGTTTATGGGCTTAAGGGTTTAAGTGGCTTACGGGTCTCAGGGCTTACAGGTTAAGGGTTTATGTGTTTAAGGGTTGAGGGCTTCAGGATTTATGGGCTTCAGGGTTGAAGGGATGACAGGTTTCAGGGCTTCCGTGTTTAAGGAATTATGGCTCAAGGGGTTAAGAAGGGCATGAGGTTTAATGGTTTGAGGGGTGAGGGCTTGTAGGGCGCCTCTCAGATTCGCGTCAGGTGCCTCTCTGAGGCGCTTGTAAGACGCCTCTCAGAGACGCCTCTGAGACGCTTCTCAAAGCTGCACGTAAGACGCCTCTAAGAGAAGCCTCTCGGAGTCGCCTGTAAGACGCCTCTCAGAGACGCTCGTAAGACGCCTCCCAGAGACGCCTGTAAGACGCCTCGCCGAGACGCCTCTCAGAGACGCCTTCAAGACGCCCGCAAGACGCCCGTAAGACGCTTTTACGAGGCCTCTCAGAGACGTCTGCAAGACGCCTCTCAGAGACGCCCACAAGATGCCTCTCAGAGACGCCTCTGGGAGATGCCCGTAAGACGCCTGTAAGGCTTGTCACGTAGGTTGGTTGGAATGCGCACTGAAGTTGTTGGAAGTAGTGTCACAGTGCATGAAATTAGTATTCCAGTTGTTGGACTTTGTTCTTGCTGGTTGTAAGTTGTCTCATTTCTGGCCTGGACCCCCCCCACATGCTGGTGCTCGCGTGCATGGCGATCGCAGCGCACCCCCGCCCTGACGCGCCCCACCCCGCCCAAGCGTTACCGCTACCTGGGGCTCCAACCCCTTCCCCTGGACAACGACCGGCACTGGACAACAAATGCCTTGCGACGTACCAGGCCCATCGGCACCAAGGGATGATACAAGGCGTGCCGACAATAATGCGACAGCAACGCTGCAAGAGACGGTGCACTGCGGATATCTATGTCGTGCGAAGTGTGCGTGACCGACTCGCAGAACAGAAGTACAAAAGGCCAGGAGGCATTTTATTGAGAAGGAGAAGCACAAGGAAGACATCGGCGTGGAACAATTATCTCCTTGGCAGAAGCAGCGAGATGAGGACGAGTTCTTTTTGGGATCTGCGTGGGACCCCGCTGTGCTCGCCCCCCCCCTACAGCCCTCGAAAGTGGGGACAGTTGCACACGTCGCAGCCCCCAGGGATGGCGAGGTCCCAGTTGGATCTGTGTGGGGCCCCACTGTGCTGCCCCGCCCAGCAGCCTTCGAAAATGGCGACAGTTGCACACGTCGCAGCCCCCCAGGGATGGCGAGGTCCCGTTCGGGTCTGCGTGGGACCCCACCACGCTGGCCCCCCCAAGCAGTCCTTGAAACTGGCGACGGTTTCACACTTCGCAGCCCCCCAGGGATGGCGAGGTCCCGTTTGGGTCTGCGTGTGACCCCACTGCGCTGGCCCCCCCAAGCAGGCAGGCGAGAGGCGGACAGAGCTGGCTCCCCCAGCAGGCGGGTGCAGACCGGCGCAGGCAGGCGAGAGGGGGACAGAGGGCGGGAGGAGAAGGAGGAGAGAGTCGGCACCCCACTGCTCCATCCAGGACGAGAACCCAACCAAGGGAGGGCTTGGAATAACATAAATCAATCTCGTCGTCGCCGTGGCCGGATTCGCTGCGGGCTTCTTGGTCGGAGCCGACCAGAGGACCAGGAAATTGCGGTTATGATTCGTTCAATCCGCGTCCCTGAAGCTCCCGACCCCTTCCCCGGAGCCAGGTTTTCGTCCCAGATCCCCTTTTGATGGCGCCAGGGCCAGAAAAAGGGCCACAGAGGTCGAAATCGAGGAAACGCCAGGATTGAAACAAAAAAATCGTCGGAGATCTGGGGCTATCGGCATCATTTTGCCCCCCCCCCAGGACCCAGTGCGTGCGCCCAGTGGCCAGGTCTTCGAGCGCTCAGTGCTGGCCAGGTCGCTGCAGGCCCCCCCCACGCTGGGCCTGACCGCCGCCCTGCCGCCGAGGCTCGAGGACTGCCAGCGGACTCCGGAGCTTCGGCGGCAGATCCTCCAGTGGGTGCGGGACCGCAGGCCGCCCGTGGCGCGCGAGGCGTAGTGCTGGCCCGGGTGCTCGGGAGTAGGGGGCCACCTGCGAACCCTACCCCTACCCCCCACGATTTCTGCGGGGGAGGGTGGGGTTCCCTTCGCTCGGGAGCTCTCGAACGGAGTGAAGCCCACCCTCCCCCTCAGAAATCGTGGGGGGTAGGGGGGCAGGGTCCGCATGCGGCCCCCTGAGATCCTCCAGTCGGTGCGGGACCGCAGGCCGCCCGTGGCGCGCGAGGCGTAGTGCTGGCCCGGGTGCTCGGGAGGAGGGGCGGGCACCGATGCCGCCGCTCGTCACGGAGGGCCCTCGCCGCGCCACGGGCGGGCTCTCTCTCCTCGAGGTCATGGCCAGAGCGCATCGCTCGGAGAGGTCTGGGGAGCAGCGTTCGGCCGGGCGTGTCTTCCAACAGGGGGGTTTTGGACGAAGAACGACAGATAGTCAAACACATTCAAACAATACCAGAAGAATCGTCCCCAGACGATTCGTTTTGCTGTGTTTAGAGCTTCCTGCTGTGGTGGGACCAGCCCGACTTAAGAGTAGCGGCATCGGTGCATGTTTGCGCCCCCAGGTGCTGCGGTGCAGCCTTGAGCCGTCGTGCCAGGACGGGCATCTCTGAGCCTGCCTTGCGCGCGCTGTGTACACAGCACGGGCGAGTTCGGCTCGCGCCTCGCTGGCCCCGCCTCGGCGCGGTAGAGCCGCAGCCGCAGCCGCAGCGCTCGAGATCCGCCTCGCGAGCTCTGCGATGCTCGCCCGCCCCCGTTAGTCGCGCCGCGCGGGTAGGCTGCCGGCGCCCCAGTACCCCGCGGAAACACGTGTCGGGCGCGGTCCAAGCGGGGGGGTTCTCTCTTATCTTCGGGCAGCGCAGCACAGCATTGCCGCATCGCCGACAGCGTGGCACTGCGCACCAAAGCGGACCACCGCCCACATGGGCCTCGTCGCAGCCTGGCGCTCGCATCGCGCCGCGTGACCACCAGACGTGACACGCCCCCCCCCCCCACACAGCGCTGCGCAGCACAGCGCAGCAGGGTACACCACACCATAGCATGTCCTACCTGGTCCCCCCCGTACTTGCGGATACGAGTGGGGGGGCGCGGGTGGGGGGCGGCGCGGGTGGGTCGCTGGTGGGTCGCAGCGCGGGTGCGTCATGGCGCTGGTGGGTCGCGGGAAGGTCGAGGCGCGGGTGTGTCGCGGGGCGACGCTGACAAGAACAAGAACGACGAGAATCCGCACCGCGGAGCCCCATTGCAGCCACGCAACCAGCCACTGCGCAAGAACGTTCGGCCAGGTCACTCGGACGACAGCACACCACCACACAGCATACAGTCGACATCCATGGTCAGAACGCGGTACTCCCGCAAGGGCACCCGTGCATCCTTGCCCCTTCGCCAATCTTTGGCCAGCTTCGACATGCAAGGGACTCCAATTTGGTTGGTCTAAGGGCTTTGCATCCTTACCTTGCGTCCTTGCTGCCGATTCTGACTGTAGGCAGAGCAACAATCACAGAGGTCCATGGCACGAGGCCCCAACATTCCGCAGCCAAAAGGTACCGATACCGCTACCCCCCCCAGGACCTCCCGGGGTGCGTCTGATGAGAGTTTCGAGGTGACTCCAGCCGTGGCGAGCAGCGCAGCACGCACTCCGCAGGCTCCGCCGCTGCGGATCACAGCGAGCGGGGCGTCGCGGGCCACGGACGTTGCCTGGGCCTCGGCGGGCGCGGGGCGCAGGCGCGCCAGGACGGGCCGCGGGGCCGCGCCTCGGGGCTCGAAGGACGGGGGTCCGTGCAAAAGGGGGGCGAGGCAGAGCGCCCGCTCTTGCAGGATCCTGCAGCGCCAGGGCTGCACCGACCCGGGTTCTGGCGCAGGACCCCGCAGGCTCCTGCAGGATCTCGCAGGGCCTGACTGACCCGGGTCCGGATTGGCCCGGGGCAGTGGACCCCCGGCATCCCCTCCCTCGAGGGCCCCAGAGATCCGATGCTGTGATTTGTTCGGGGTACACCTTAGACAATGCTTAAGAAATCTTAAATGTTCGGCCAGAGTCTCGATTATTCTTAATGCTTTAATGTAAATCCTAAGATTTGAATCGACATTTTGGGTTTTTATTCAAGTTCTGAGACTATGAATTTCTTAACCCATGATTTCTTAAGCATTTCGCGGGGTGTACGTACGGGATTCTAGGCTCAGGGGCGGCCTGACCGACCCCTGGCAAGCCATCCCTCTCCGTGGCGTCCCCCTCGTCTCGCCCTGCGTCGTGGGCGTGTGGCCAGAGGGAGGCTTGAACGGCGAGGGTGACGTGCCGGAAGGGGATGGCTTGCCAGGGGTCGCTCGGGCGGCGCCCGATGGGCTCCCCACATGGGGTCGGAGCAGATGGGTCGGAGGATCGCGCCGCATCGCCGGTGCATCGGCGATGGTGCTCGATGTGGAGCCCGATGGTCTCCACGCCGAGGCCGCCGATGCATCGCCGACGTCACCGATGTATCGCCGATGCACGGGTGGTCGGTGATGGGGTAGGGGGTAGGGGTAGGGTTCGGGGGTAGGGGTAGGGGTAGGGTTCGCATGCGGCCCCCTAAGTGAGAGGGGGCGGGCAGTCTCGGAAGGCTCAGAAGTCCCCCGGCCTTCTGAGGAGTGTGTTGTAAGCTTTCCCCGAAGACGCAGGTAGTGGCAGCCAGCGTGGGCCCCGAGCCGTGGGCTCCTGCGGTCCATGCGGTGCCACTTGTGTGGTGCAATGTCTGCGATGCAACGTATGTGATGCAATACATGCGGTGCAATCCAGGCGGTGCGATCTATGTGGCGCAACCTACGCGGTGCAACCTGTGTAATGCAATATATATATATATATATATATATATATATGCGGTGCAATCTATGTGGTGCAATCCACTCTGCTGAACTTGAAGACGTCGTCGCCACTGCTCTTGCAAACATCCCACCCACCCACCCGCAGCTTGGTTTGCAAAACCTCTTGAGACCGACTACGACGACACCGACGACAACGACGACGACGACACCGACGACGTCTCCGACGACTTCGACGACGACACCGACGGCGACGCCGATGACGACGAAGACGACGACGACGCCAACGAAGACGACGACGAGGGAGGAGGAAGGACGACGACGGCGACAACGACGACAACGACGACAACGACGAGGGAGGAGGGAGGACGGCGACGACGCGAACGACGAAGAAGGAGGAAGGACGGCGACGCCGACGACAACGACGGAGGGAAGACGACGACGACGACGACGACGGCGACGAAATAGGAGGGACGACGACGAAACGCCGACGACGGACGACGACGACGAGGGAGAAGGAGTAAGGACGACCACGGCGACAGCGACGACGGAAACGACCACGACGCCAAAGAGGACGACGACGACGAACACGAGGAAAGACAGAGGACGACGTAGGCGACGACGACGACGACGCGGCAGGAGGGAGGACGGCGACGACGACGACGACGACGCAAGAGCGCGCGCGCTCGCTTTTGTTGAACATCCGTGTTGCGAAACCCTTGTTTTTGTAGGTTTTTTGGCCACACGATTTTGAAATCCTTCCGAAACCGAAGGGTTTTGAAGGATTTCGGCATACGCGCGCGACGACGCGCGCGTCTGCACTTCGTCCCGTTTTTTGGATAGGATTCTCGCGACGGCACACGCGCAAGGGCGTTCGACAGATTTCGACATGCGCGCGCGCGAAGCCCGTTTGGTAGCATTTTGTGAATATCTTGAAAAACTTATGGTTGTCATAAGATTTCGCAAGAGCTCGCGCGGAAGCTTTTTTAGCAAGTCAGTGTTGCGAAACCCTGTGTTTTTGTATGTTTTTTTGGAAACTCGATTGAGACATCCTTCCGGCACCGAAGGTTTTTGAAGGATGTCGGCATGCGCGCGCGACGACGCGCGCGTGTGCACTTCGTCCCGTTCTTTGCAAGGGATTAGTGACAAAGAGCTATGTTAGAACAAATAATGTCACTGCATAGTTTTTTTATAGAAGGGAACCTCAGGGGGGGGAACCCGGCCCCCCGGGGATAGTGTAAATTCATATATCGGATGGACATGTGGTCAGAATCATATATGATTTACATACCCGAAAGGGGTAGCGATCACGCCGGGGTGGGATAGATCCTATTTTGTTTTGAGAAAGGAGAATCTACGCGGTGCAACCTATGCAATGCACTCTATGCGGTGCAATCTGTGTGGTGCAATCCACTCTGCTGAAGTCGTCATCTCCACTGCTCGCGCAAACATCCCACCCACCCACCCACAACTTTGTTTGCAAAACCTTTTAAGACCGACTACGACGACACCGACGACAACGACGACGACGACACCGACGACGTCTCCGACGACTTCGACGACGACACCGACGGCGACGCCGACGACGACGAAGACGGCGACGACGACGCCAACGAAGGCGACGACGAGGGAGGATGAAGGACGACGACGGCGACAACGACGACAACGACGACAACGACGAGGGAGGAGGGAGGACGGCGACGACGCGAACGACGAAGAAGGAGGAAGGACGGCGATGCCGACGACGACAACGACGAGGGAGGAGGGAAGACGACGACGACAACGACGAGGACGACGACGGCGACGAAGTAGGAGGGACGACGACGAAACGCCGACGACGGACGACGACGACGACGAGGGAGGAGGAGGAAGGACGACCACGGCGACAGCGACGACGGAAACGACCACGACGCCAAAGAGGACGACGACGACGAACACGAGGAAAGACGGAGGACGACGTAGGCGACGACGACGACGACGCGGGAGGAGGGAGGACGGCGACGACGACGACGACGACGACGACGACGCAAGAGCGCGCGCGCTCGCTTTCGTTGACCAAATGCGTGTTGCGAAAGCTTGGTTTTTGTAGGTTTTTTGGCCACACGATTTTGAAATCCTTCCGAACCCGAAGGGTTTTGAAAGATTTCGGCATACGCGCGCGACGTTGCGCGCGTCTGCACTTCGTCCCGTTTTTTGCAGAGGATTCTCGCGACGGCACAC